ATTTGGATACTGGAAATAATTCTGCAGCATGGGGTTTGTTGTGGGGTTTTTTTTCCTTTTTTTATTTCTAGATGCAAGCTGACACTTAATAAATTTTAAAATTCAGATCTCTTTCAACACCTGTGCTACTTAGCTTTGTAAAATGAGTCAGTAGACTATTGATATAAGTAATTGTACACGTGCCTCAACCTTGTTACTTATGGTATGTTAAAAGACAGAAGGTTAACAAATTGTAAGCCACGATAAATTTGTTATACTTAGTCTGTAAATTCAGTAAGCTTTTAGGATAATTGCCAGGTGTTTGTCACTTGGATAATGAATCTCTACTCTGGCTGTCCTCACCATTGTTTTTAGATAACTGTGTTAATAAACACGATGATTGATAATGTCAATTGTGTGAAGCAGTCACTCTATTATGTATAAATTTGTTAACTGGGATTTTTTCCCCCCTTACATTCAGTATTATGCAGACATTCCAGAAGAAGAGAGAGAGAAGAAACTAGCTTCCTGTTCAAGACATAGATTTCGCTACATTCCTCCAAATACTCCTGAAAATTTCTGGGAGGTTGGATTTCCTTCCACCCAAACCTGTGTGGAAAGAGGTTTGTGCCAAAAAAAGCTTGAAAAGTACTTTTTAAAGCTCTTTTTTTTTTTTCTCCCTGAAATTATCTCTAGTTCATATAGCAGCCTTTCTCACCCATTCTTGTTGAGGTCTGTTTATCAGCAGCCACTGCAGCCACCATTGTCTGGCTTTAGCAGTTCCTGTACTACTAAGAAAGGAATATAAGGAGAATTTCTTAGAGTCTAGATAGAGAAGGCAGAAATAATTGGGATTTTCATAGAACTTAATTTAAACCCTATATATCTTTGACCATAAGCAGCAATTGGATTTTCAGAGGTAAAGGCCAAGAGATTGTACTTACTTAGGAGAGACAGCACTATTGATGTCCTTTGGCAGTGTTTTTAGTGTATCATTGTACCAGGTGATGGAAATGTTGCAGGCATGGTGTAGTGAAACAGTTTTTCATACATATACCCTGCTTGTTAGTGACAATGAAAAGATGTGGTGTTTGGTTTTGGGGTTTTTTTAAACTCATCTTCACATAGAAGTTTGTTCTTTTTAAATAACTTTTCAAAATCTTAGAGCCTAGTGTAAAAATGAGGTTTTACAAATTATGTTAAAACACGGTGAGTTTGTAGTATACTCTATGTACAGTTCTTCAGAAGTGGTGAAGTGCTGGAGTGAGGAGGCCTATAGAAACTCTCTGAGTTCCTTATATCTTGAAACATTAACATTTGCTTTTATCTGTTCCTGTAACAGTGTCAGGTCAGGCATAGGAAAATGTAGCCAGAATTGTGTATGTGTATTCTGTGATAGTGTTGCAGTATCATCCTTAATCTTTCACAACAGGGAGCTTTGATTTTTATGGACCATATAACTTGTTACTAGCCATTTGGAATCTGCTTGCAGCCTCATTAAAAATTAGCTTCTTGGCTCTCTCCTTGTTCTTCTGGAGTAAGAGCTGTCCAGTTAATGGTCTCAACAGCATATCAGAGGCAGAATTTAGATCAACCCGCCCTTGGAAAAGGAAATATTTTATAGCAGTGCAGCAAGTGAACTAAAACACAAGAGAGAGTTCCCATGATGAGCAATTGCTCCTGCCACTCCAGTGTACTGGGGTACAACAAAGGTATTTTCTACTCCTTATTGGTATCTTAAACCATCTGTTTGTGTTGTTTTGGTTTTTTTAAAATAACTGAGTTATGTAGACATAATTTTCCAACTATGAAGTGGAAATCTACTACTCTCATTTTGGTGGATGTTGTTGCTGATCAACAGTAAGGAATTGACAAAAGCCAGGTGCTGAAATTGATTTGCATAAAATGTCTGTTCACTGTCAGTGTTAGCTACGTTGAGAATGTTATAGAATTTTTCTATTCACTTTTCTTATCAGAGAGCTTTCAAGGTGTGTTTAATCTATAGGCTCATGTTCAGCTTTTCCCAGTCTTTAATGAACCTGGGTGCTCTTAAAACAGAGGGAGGTACTGTTTATTCCTACAAAACACATGTGCCTGAAGTTTCCTCTATATGACTAGGATTTACATTTTCAAAAGTGATTTTTATTAGTGAATTGAATTGGCAGTTATTGCATACTTTGTTACTCTTATGTAAAATCCTTGGTAAAAGAAAATGGCAGTGCAGTTTTGTTTTGAATAGATGAACAATTCATAGTTTCCATTCTGTTTTTCATTGTCAGCTGTCTGTATTGCATTATTGTGCAGTCACCTACTAGAAAGCAGCTGTGTATTTTAATGAATAATATTTGCACAGTGGGATCTCCAAACTTTTATGTGAAGTCAGAACCACTTGCCCCAAAAGGAGAAAAAAATTCACAAGTTATTTTTTGACACTAAACACACAGTAAAGCTAAAGTTATGCCTGTTTTTATATAGTATTTCTTACCCTAGGTTTTTTCTTTTTAAGGCTACATTAAAGAGGACCTTGCTCCCTGTCAACGTCCAAAAAGGCGGCAGCCCTATGCAGTGATGTTTTCCCCAAAAGGAAAAGAGCAGAAGACATAAAGGATGGGGAAGTGAGAAGTGCCAGCCTGAAGTGGATCTCTCCTGCCCGTAGATATTTATAGTTAATATAAACTTGAAATAAAGAACTGTGTTTTCCACAATTATAGATAAATTGTTTAATTGAATATGTAAATTTTATAAAATTCATTTGCAAGTCTGATGAACCAGGAAACAAAACTATTTAATATATGTTTGTTTCATATTGTGTTAATACATTTTGTATTCGTTTTTGCACCTGTCAGAGAAGTCTCCTACTTTTTTTTTTCTTTAAGGCCAACAGCTGAAATTCCAGCAATTCCTGTCTGAACTTTGTGTCAGTGAGTAACTGCTTTGAAGTTACTGAAATCAGTTGTTCTTGCAAGAGTAAATGTCTGTCAATGGGAACAGAAATGACAATTTTCTAGGGTGCTTTTATTTTGCTCTGGATTTTCTTGTATTTCTTTTCTCTTGTTGCAATAATGGTTGTATCTACTTGGAATAAAGCTGTATTAAATATGATATGTATCTACTGTTCATAGTTTGGAAAACCAGGAAGTCTAAGTGTCTTTCTTCAATTCTGGTGTTAAATGTATAGCACCATGTTTTCCTCAGTTTAAATTAGAATGTCCAATATTCCTTTTATTTTTCCCCTGAAATGTCTTTGCATATATGTGTCCCATTTATTGATAGAGATAAGCATTGTTATTTCTAAATTTGGGTGGCGGCTCTGCCCGGAGTTCTCCTAGTGGACGGCAGTAGTCATCACCTAGGTTACAAATGATTGTCCTGAGATATTTTAAATTAATCTTTTGTAGCAGGGGATATATTTCCATACTTGTATTGGGAAAGTAAGATCATACAGTATCACAGAGACAGGATAATACCTACATAGGTAGGCAAGCCAAAGATCACCGTAGGATCCTTAGGAATAAAGGAGCTACAATCAGAGTTGGGTTCAAGCACTGAGAACTCTTTTAAAAAGAGATCATAAAGCAAGCAAACTATTGAAATGCCTGAAGTAAAAATAAAACAATAGAAAGTACAGATACATCTGGGGGTTTATCTATATATATATTTATATATAAAAATGTATCTGTAATTTCTATTCTTATACTTTATGTATGGGTATAAAAATATATTTAAAAACTTGGTGGATAGGACCATTTAAATTCAGCTGTATTTATCTAGGAATGGTGGCAGTAGGAATGGTGGCAGAGGTTGTAGCATAGGCCCAAGAAAAAACTAAATCACATGTGATCAATTTAACTGTAACTCTAAGAGACAAAAAATCCTTTAAGGCTGAAGTAACAGGCCTTGCAGAAAAGTAGAAGAAGGGGTGAGAGGAGGCACTGTCCCCATCCTACCTGCTTAGTTGGTTTACTTCAGCATTTCACAGGAGTATATCCTAAGGAATGCCAAAGGCATAAAGCCAAATAACAACGAAAGTCTTTAGTCCTTCCCATAGATACTAATACATGCTGACAATAAATGTTTACAACACTGTAATATCATTTCTTGGAACAGACAGTCAAAGAACTCATTCCAGGGTAAGTCTGGTTTCCTGGAATTTTTTTTAATAGGAAAAAAAATTGAATTCTTGCAGGTATCTTGAAAATTGTTTTAGAACAACTATTACATGGTCTGCATAAATATTTATCCATTGAAAAATAAGTTTTAGCAAGAAGAATAGGGTAGGAGACTGCTTTTTACTAGGGAGAGCCTTTACACAGTAGAAGCTACATTCGCCAAAAGAAAAGTAGAACACTGTAACTTGTCAAATGTAAATTTTGCTATGAAGCAGGCTGTTTTGATGCCTTAAGTTTTAGCTTTCATATTTTCCAGATTCTGTACTGCATTAGTATTTAACTCTGAACTTCATATAAAGTGTTAGCAAGTTTTCTTCACAGCTTAGTTAGACAAAACAATCCTTTTCCACTCTGAGAACCATGGACATCATTGCAGCTTCAGGCCCAAAAAGTATAAACAACAGCAAATTGAGGAAAGCAAGCTGGGAGGATGGGACTTCATAACCTGAAGCTGTAATTGGACAATTCACCCAAATATGTAAATGGACCAAAACTTATAAAAGTGTGAAAACTCAGGACCCACCATCCATCTTGGCTGGAGCCATGGCAGGGCTCTTGTACAGCCCAAGGTGTATCCTTGATAAATAATAAATAATAAATACCTTTTAATAAAAACCTACTTTATTCCGTTAACACCATCTAGCCTCTGTTCTAGGTAGCCTCTCAAGGCATCAGTTTGAGACAATTTCTGAAAGAAATAAAGTGAAAGGTAAAGTAAAAGATCAAACAATAATGGGAACATTTAAAGGTAAGATGACAAGAGCAGATGGGATTTTTACAGCAATGTTCATTATGGAAGTGCCTGGGAGCCTTTCTTTGCAGGGTGGGTGGGCAGAGCTGTTGGAAACTGAAATGGCAGAAGAGATCAATGATGTGGGTGTTGACAAGTGGACAGGATTGGAGCCTGCTCCCATGGATTGGAAGGTGAGAGAAGCAACTCCTAAATCCCTCACTCTAGCATGGAACGTGACAATCAAACCAGCTGTGGTGGCAAAGGAGAACAAAGTAATAATCCTGTCTGGAGGCTTTAAAGAAGACTCCAAGGAGATCAGTGTGGCTGCAGCCTGGTGAGTTTTGTGGAGTCACAGGAGCTGGGCTAATTCGCATCAGTGTAACAAACAAGATTTTCAGACCTTTATAAATACAATGTGAAAGGATGACTTTTTACAGCTGCCATTCTGATGGCCTTTTAGATACTTTGAAGATGTCAAAATGTGATTTATCTGACAGTAGAACTAACTTGTCTTGGTGCAGAAGTTCTCTCCTAGAGGATGCCTGTTGAAAGGTACATAAGACATTACAGTGGGATCCTAAGTACCATTTTATTCAGCCTATTTGTGTTCTGAGAAAGGGTGAAGGGAGAAGTCTGTTAAATTATTAACTGAACAAGTGGAACTGGGGTAGAGAAGAGGAAGAAATTGCAGAGCAGAACCCCTTCACACACAAGAAGGGATGTGATGGATGCTGATGAAGTCATGAAGAGGAAAGAAAAGAGCAAGGATTGCTCTCCAAAGGCAGCAGGTTTAGTCACAAGAAGAAAGGAGCACGTAGTGTCTATGGGGATATTACTGCTCCACTAGAGGACAGTAAGGAACTGCTTTTGAGCTTAAAGCAGTGTAAGAATTACTCTTTCTTACCCTTTGATAATTGGCCAGTTTTATAAGATTTATATTGATTTTAAAATTGTAGATCTCTTGTCTAGCTCTGCTAATGCCAGAAAAACTATTTTGCTTCATCTTGAGAAGCAAGAAATCAATTGTAAATATCAAGAAAAAAGAATAGAAACAGACTGATTTCTCCTCTAAAAATAAGAATAAAGAAATACCTGAAGTATTTCTAATAAATACAAAGCAACATTTGTATACCAAAAAGATTATTGGAATTTATAAATTTTAAACATTTGGTTAAATATTTCTATTTGCAGAAGTTACTAATTATGACTAACCTGCATTTTTAGGACACTCTTGGAATAATAAGCATCTTTTGCCCAGAAGGAATGGAAGAAAAAAAAGAGCAAATCAGAGCCAGCAAGGAAAGTCTGCTAAAAAGAATCACTTTAAATATAGTTACATTTATACATATTGGCTGTATTTGTCCTCTTTATAGCATGGCAGCACATTGTTATTGCAGTCAGCTGTGCTGTCAAGAGGAGTGGACTGTATTCTTTGAGATTTGTGGGGTTTTCCACAGTTGATAGTGGAAAAAAAATCAGATAAAAACCATAAGCTGGAGTAGGTTTTTGTCTTTGGAGGAGATTGGGGCTAAAACCAATGTTTGTGAGCTAAATATTCAATGGCTTCTTACCTGAAGGCATTACTCAGAAGCTGAGACAGTGGGAGAAATTTCTTCAGGTGTATTGAAGTCTCAGCATCCAGATGGGAATCTCTGAAGAGCAGTGCCTATTGGGTCATACACCCACCACCTGGCAGAACAGCCAGGATAGCCACAGCTGCCTTCTAGTTTCCTGTCTGTGGCTGGGACTACATCTTAGGATCCATGCTGCCTTTTCTCATTTTATGAGATAAGGGAAAACTTAGTAATCAGTGCTAGGATTTGTGCATCTTGCAGTTATGTAAATAAATACTGATATAATATTGATCATGACTGCAAGAGCTTGAGGATTTGACACTCATGTAGGAAGTGCCCCCAAAGAAAGAGTAATCTCTAGGAACTCATCCATTTGACAACAGTGAAAATCACCCTCCCTGGAATGGGTTGAAAACTGGAATGGGCTTCTGAATTTTTCTGAACTTAGATCAAGGTAAACCTCTTGGCTTCCAGTTGAGCTTATGGCCTGCTGGAATACACACATTCCTAGTGATTCTTAGCATATATTCCAGCCTGTGACATTCAGATGCTGGTGTGGACCCAACAATTGTACAACTTCAAGTTGGTGGCTTAGTGTCATTCCCAAAAACATAAAGATGGCAAAGTCATGGCTTTAGCACTTCCAAAGTGTTATCTGTCCCCTCTGCAAACAATCCCAGCCTGAGAAGGAAGCCTTTGATCAAAAAAAGAAAGGCTTTTTAGACTGCTTGGAGCACAGAAGTCAAATTGCTGGTAAAATGTCCACAGGCAAGCTGTTTCCTGTGCTGCCTATGAGACCAACTTGGCTGCTAGTTGCTTTTAATTAGTTGTGCTTTTGAACTTTGCCTTTCTCATGCAGAAAGGAAAAATTCCTTGTCTCTAATGAAGCAGAAGGAAAACTATGTCTGTGTGCTGGTAATTAGAAAGTCCTGTCAAAAAAGAAAAAAAAAAAAAAAAGAAAGAAAGAAAAATAATACAAGAGCAGAAAAATCATAGGCCAGGGAAAAACAGGAGAGAGCAGAAGAGCATGATGAGGCTCTTGTTGGTGATACATCACGGGGTATCAGTAGACTCTTGTTTTTAGAAATAATAAACATCAGCCTTGATCCTGAAGGGAAGGGGTTTGCTGTGTTCAAACAAATCAGTTGTGCAGCATTTGGAAGAAGAAGCTGCCACTTCCTTTGTCCCTTAGAAAGACTGCTCGGTCTCAGCATAATCTGTCTTTGTTGTGCTCCTGCACGGACCATAAAGTTTCCAGGAGTGTTCTCTGTGCACAAATACAGACACCTAATTATGAAAGAAAAGGTAGCAAGACACTGCAGAAATAAACCCAAGGTTTACCTCATTGGAAGATGGACCTTACTTTAGGTTTAGGGTTTTTTTCAGTAAAACCTAAAATGTAGAGTGTTTTCCTCAGATTTATTTCAGCTTGCTTCTTTAGTCTGTGCATTGCAAACTGTATGTCACTGTATCAAAAAATAATGTACTGTAAATGATAAAAACAGCATTGTCCTCTGCGAATTATTTTACAGGTTACAAAGTGACAGCACAGGTTGGGTTGTTGTGTCTTAGAACAAGGATGTGCTATAAGAATATACAATTCATTTTGATCATCAAGTTCAATTATGATTCCTCTAAATACCCATCAATCTCCCCTCAATGATAAATATGAGTTTTTTTCTGAATTGCAATTGTCTTCTGTCTCACTGCACTCCTTTAAAAAGCTAGTTCTTCTTTTTAGAATATTGTTTAGGATATATATGTGGCTAGATATTTTGCATCCTGGGCACAGTGCCTGAGGTGCAAGCACCATCACAGCAGAGCCACACGGATTTCCTGGGCTCTGGGAGAAGTTGTGTATTGAGTTTATTGTGAAGAGAGCCTCCAGTCAAGGGCAGCGAGGTCTGTCTCCCACACTTAGCAATGGTGGGAGATAACCCTGCCCAGCAGGAACTTGGAGAAGGACATTTGAAGACTGCTTGTCCTTGGGTGGCTTCTGTCGGCATTCCAGCTGCAGCCATGAACAAGGCTTATCAGCCTCAGTTATAACCAAGGCTCCTGTTTAGCATCTCATTAGGAGAATTAGTTGGAGTTTAGGTCAACATGGGAGAAAGGTTTTTTCATTAGAGATAGGAAAGCTGATTTTAAGCTAAAAGTGTGTATTTATTGGGAAGACATCCTCAAACTAGAACATGTTACCAAATCAGGACGGTAACATTTGGTACATACTTGCTACACCGGTAAGTAACTACACTTGGAACTAACCAATGCACCAACAAAGTTATCAATACAAACTGCTATACATACATGACATATTCAGACAAGAAAAGTGAGGAAAATATCCCCAGAAATAATTGCAGGAAGAGTTCCATATGTACTTCTATTCTACTCCACGTCTTCTACAAAGATATTACACACATGTGGTGATAACGCACATTAATACATTTCAGGTACTGTACCACAAATATTAACAACAATTTAGAAATACAGAAGATCTCCATTTCCCCCTCTTTTTTATTTCTGAATGGTCTACCCAGGCCTTTAAACTTCAAAGAAGAGATCAGATTTTGGTTTGGGTTTGGGGTTTTTTTTCACTTTTGATAGTCACTAACTTTAACAACTGTTTTGAATTAATTTATTTTCAGTTACTTATTACCTTACTTGACATGGTTACTACTTAAGACAACAATTTCATGTGGATAATGCTTTAAGAAAAAAAAATGTAGTGATACAAAGGACAGAACTTTTACATGCCTGTATTCCAGAGCCAATAGGAATAGACAGGAGACTGTGCTGTGGATCAAACACACATTAAACAAGAAGCAGAGGAGACAAAATTCAGATCTAGTCATCAGCTCAAATCCATATGGTGATAAAAGCCACACAATTCCCTCACAGTCAAAATTACCAACTCTATGAGTCTTTTTAGAACAGTTTTAAATAAAGTGAGAATAAAATAAAGCTAGATAAGAAAGAAATAACAATTTAGGGGCCTTTAGGAATATGTTTTGTGTGCTTTACTTGTGCCCTTGGGTAAATCAGTTGTGGGAAAAGATAAAGAGATTAAATACAGTGTTTGAAATTACATTCCTAATGACTCACCATTTCAGAGAGCTTGGGAATTTAAGCTGCAATTGAAAAGAGGCATAAAATGAAAAAAAAGCTAACATTATCTTGGATAATGTGTATCAGATAATGAGTTGATACTCTTTTAATGTTGAACAGATGTCCTAGAAGAGGCAATTATTTTAATTCAAATTTTCTTTTACTTAAGCCAGTTTGCAAAAATACAGGTACTCTCTCACACAAATGTAAGGACGAATATAATTAGAACCAAGACGCTATAGCTGCAAGTCAGAAAATCTAATATTCTATTTCTACTCTATGGAAATATCCTGCATCTCAAATTGTAGTAGTCTTACACTTTGGAACAAAATAGCAAAATTTTCCATTAAATGAAATCTAAAATAATTGGGTTTGAAGTATTAGACTTCTTGAAGTATTTCACTCTGCCCTAGTAACTGAACTTATATCATTACTGTCAAATTAATAGAAGCCGGCAAGAAACTCAAACTCATCATGACAACCCTCACTGTGCTCTTTATATGTGTTTCTAAAGTGTTTTGCTTGCTGGATATGAAATGAATACTTTCCAGCTTGCTAGCCTGCCAAGCACACTCTATTAATTGCTAATAGATCAGTAAATGCTTGGCAAACCATCCAGAGAAACCAATGGTACTTTTGAAGTTTAATCCTAATA